GACACCTGGTTTCTATGACAATTGTGAGTTATTTTTTCTATTCATGTTTCGTCGATCTCCCAAAGAGATGATGGAATGTCGTTAGTACTGAAACAGGTCATCTGTCAACGGAGGAGCTGCAAACCCCTACAACGAGCAGCTCTGAAACTCTGTACTCTGTATGCTGCTGCTGGAAGCACACTCCCTGAAACAAGTACCTCTGGAAACAAGTACCAGAACAGGCAAGGTTAGCACCCAAGTTAAAGAAAAAAACTAAACATTTAGAGTGGACGTTCTGAAATAAGAGTATATATTGCTAAGCAAAAGTAGTTCCAGACAAGTAAAAAAACTTGGAGTAAAGTCTTTACCTTAATTTATAATGTTTTTTCAGAGGAAAAAAAAACAGGTACTGATGTTGACGATTATATGTTATAGAGCCCTACAAATATAGGACATCTCTTCCACTTAACCATTTTTTACAAGATAGTAAAAAGGCTAATTTTGCTTCAATAGTGAAGTTGTCATTATTTAGGAGTTAGGACCATTCCAGTTTTTTAGATTATAGTTGGTCTAAGTTCCATAAACATCCATATATCTGAAAAACAGCGCTACCAAAAATTGGTCCCCAAAGACCAGGTATTGGAGGCTCTCCCAAAATTTTTTGTCTGAGGTTGATGGAACCATCTGTGAAGCCACCGCTAGAGCTCTCCCAAAATTTTTGTCTAATCATCTGTGAAGCCACCGCTAGGGATTGACTGCTGATGTTGCAGCTATCAGCTTGGTAAATTTCATGACATATAAATTAAGCAAAGGGATAGCATGCATGGGAAGTGTTGATTCATGAACCATGATGTAAAGTTCTCTGCCATGATACATGTAAGCTTTATGCACATCTATATTAGTAACAAAAGAATAATGTTCATGCTATGCCGTGATGAAATTCCATCAAAACTTACTTGTAGGCTGTGCTATGTGCTTTGTTGCTACGAGCAAAGAAACTGTAGTCTGCAATGTTGGTTGAAAGTGCAAGGACCATGAGGAACATGCGAGATTACACAGAGATTTGAGGCCTGGAACCTTGGCTTTGCATAATCGAGCCGTTGGTGATAGTTTTGTTTGTACGTGGAATCAGAAAGGTGGAAATAATTTGACGTTTGACACTTAAAAGCTTATAGGGAACAATCCAGCTTTCTTTAGAACCAGTTTTGGCCCAGCTTCTATAGAACATTATTCAGTAAAATGAAAAAGATTTCAACTGCTCATTGAGGATATGATATTGCCAATGAGTTCCTATTAACAATCTAACGACACATGAAAGAGGTCCAAGTACAGCTAGCTTGCAAGCTAGGACAGCACAAGTAGGTATTTTTCAGCATGGTCTGGATTGCGCCTTAGAGAATATAAAATAATAATTGTCGCCATATTTGAGTTGCTAAATGCTACTATTCCAGAATTTTCACTACGTTCCTTGGTATGCTCCTCGACCGGATCTGCAAGCCGGCAAGGACTGGAAACTCTTACAAAAAACTAAAATATTCAGACATTTCGATGTACTCAGCTATCATACTTAAAACTACGAAGATTTAGATATGGAGATTTTATCGATTATTTTGACACCGAGATAGTCTGAAACGGAAAATTAAGAACTAAAAAGATCTCACTGGTTCTACAAATTTATTATACTACAAATGTGGGAAATATGAGCCAGAGAGGGTGTAAATGAGCCCAGAGAGGGTAACGTAAGGCCGTAAGCGGTGAGAGAATGTGGCGGCACTACCTATTAAATTCTAGAACCTGTAGTTTGCTATGAGTCGGTTTAGATAAAGATCCTACGTGGTCTGCTTGTTGTAACAATCTTACAGACTTGACCACGTTTCGTTGGTCCTACATAACACGAAGCCATTGCTGCCAAGGGCATTCAGAATGATCTGCTTCTTCCAAATGAACTTGCTGAATCCTGCTTCTTCAGAGTGAACTTGGTCTAACGATTCGGAAGCCTGCTCCTGGAGACATGGCGTTGCACTGAATCTAGTAATATACAGCAGCCCGACTGTAGTAATAAACAATAACTAGTAGTCGGAATCTGGTAATATACAACTAGCAACCTGAATGTAGTAATAAATAAACAACATATTGATTAGCAAAAAAACAGAGAACCAAACATGTTAAGGCCCTGTATGAATACAAAGTTTTTTAGAGTTTTATATCAATACCAAGGTATCTGAAAGAAAGAAGGTGTTTGATATAATTAATTTGGAGTTTTATAAACTACTGTATTAATAAAACCATAGTTTTTTGGAGTCTAAAAAACTTTATTTTTGACAGAGCTCGGTGACGCTTGGGCCCATCTCTGATGGCGCGTCTCATTTTCACTGCTATCTTTAGAGATACATGCTATTTTTAGCAAAGATAGACACAACCTACTAGTCTCAAAAGCAACGTATTGCTGTGTAGCCAAACACGCCATGGCTTTTCTTAAATAGAGAAACACTACGGTTTCTAAATACTATGGTATTACATGCCTACTGTTTTTAAAATTGTGGTTTCGTAATACTAGAGTTTTAAGAAATAGCCGCCCTGTTCGCTTGGCTTATAAGCCGTACTTTTTCAGCCAACGAACAGTATTTCTCTCACAACAAATCAACCAACAAGATTTTCACCATGGCTTATCACCAAACGAACAACACCCAAACTAGAGTTTTAAGAAACAGCAACACCCAAACGGGGCCTAAGCTACAAGACCCAGTGTCAAAAACTGAGGTTGCTAGAACTTGAAGTTGACATTCAGTAGAAACAGGAGACAACCAGAATCAGGAGGTGCCCAAAATGAAACTCTTGCCAACCAATTTAATCTCTGACTCTGCCATAACCAAAAACAACCATATCGAACACATATTTAAGTTCAAAGATCACAACTTATTCATGAATACACACTGAGGTTGCCAGAACCTGAAGTTAACATTCAGTAGAAACAGGAGACAACCAGAATCAGGAGGTGCCTAAAATGAAACTCTTGCCAACCAATTTAATCTCAGACTCTGTCATAACCAAAAACAACTATATCGAACACAGATTTAAGTTCAAAGATCACAACTTATTCATGAATACACCATACCGGTGCACAAAGACAGTTTTAGGTAGAACACACAGGGACACAACTGGTCCAGGGACATAGGGACAGGCATACAACCGGTCCATGAAACCAAAGCAAAGCCACGACGCAAACCACACAGATGTACTTCAAAGTACACAGCCAAGACATGATGCACCAGAGGACAAGGGCACAGGAGTAGCTTCGACAACCGATGGCTTACTGGCCACCACGGAGACGCAGCACCAGGTGGAGAGTGGACTCCTTCTGGATGTTGTAGTCAGCAAGGGTACGGCCATCCTCCAGCTGCTTGCCGGCGAAGATGAGGCGCTGCTGGTCCGGGGGAATGCCCTCCTTGTCCTGAATCTTGGCCTTGACGTTGTCGATGGTGTCTGAGGACTCCACCTCCAGGGTGATGGTCTTGCCAGTGAGGGTCTTGACAAATATCTGCATACCATCATCCCTCAGGCGGAGCACCAGATGGAGGTGCTCTCCTTCTGGATGTTGTAGTCCACAAGGTGCGGCCATCCTCCAGCTGCTTGCCGCCGAAGATGAGGCACTGCTGGTCTGGGGATGCCCTCATTGTCATGGATCTTGGCCTTGACGTTGTCGATGGTGTCCGAGCTCTAAACCTCCAGTGTGATGGTCTTGCCAGTGAGGGTCTTCAGGAAGATCTGCATCCCACCCCTCAGGCGGAGCACCAGGTGCAGAGTGCTCTCCTTCTGGATGTTGTAGTCAGCAAGGGTGTGGCCATCCTCCAGCTGCTTGCCGGCAAAGATGAGGCGCTGCTGGTCCGGGGAGATGCCCTCCTTGTCCTGGATCTTGGCCTTGACGTTGTCGATGGTGTCCGAGGACTCCACCTCGAGGGTAATGGTCTTGCCGGTGAGGGTCTTCACGAAGATCTGTATCCCACCCCTCAGGCGGAGCACCAGGTGTAGAGTGCTCTCCTTCTGGATGTTGTAGTCCGCAAGGGTGCGGCCATCCTCCAGCTGCTTGCCTGCAAAGATGAGGCGCTGCTGGTCTGGGGGATGCCCTCCTTGTCCTGGATCTTCGCCTTGACATTGTCGATGGTGTCAGAAGACTCCACCTCGAGGGTGATGGTCTTGCCCGTGAGGGTCTTCACAAAGATCTGCATCTGCAAAGTATAATCAAACAACAGGGTAAGTGTATAGCAGTAGAGCAAGGAGGAAATGAAAACCACAAAGGTGCCATGTAATCAACAAACAATGCCATGGAATCAACAAACAGTAACACTGTAACATCATGTCTCCATCCAAGTACATAAAGATATAACTACGGGCATGCATGTTGAACAGATTGATGAAAAAAGAATTATCAAACAGTATCCATGTATATCTTCATCTATCTAAGCATGCATATCAAACAAAACAGGTGCATGCATGTTCACAGGTGGATGCATGTTCACAGGCAAAAGCTATAGCCTCAACTGCATATAAGTCTTCATGTATCTCCTATGCATGCAGATTGACAACAATGAAAACTTCTCAGGTAACAGCTACAACATACATCTTCGACTATCAAAGCACATATCCATCCATCCATCAATACTAATTGTGAACATGCATGTAGATCCAAATTCAATAAGCCCATGAGCAGTTCAGGTGATTATTCGACTGATCTAGAGGGGGCAAAGCAAAGAGACCAAAAGCAACAAAACTGACCCTAGACATACAGATCCAAATTCAATAAGCCCAGTTTAGGTGATTATTCAAATGAAAAGATTCTAGAGGGGCAAAGCAACAAAACTGTTTTTTCCTAGACGAATCAGCCAGGCACACAAACCTATCGACCTACCAGAGGTTTGTGAATGAAATCAGGCGCACCCATCTAATTCCATAACCATAAGCACAGGATCATAAGACTGAACAAAAACAGGATTGACTAGATCGTATCTGCACCGGGAATTAAAAAACTACTAACGCAGCAATAAGCCAAATAAATAATTATCACGAGAACGATTCATATCATCATGAGAACGATTCATATCTAGTACTGTAGTCGCCTAGAAGATGGCCGTAGTTCCCAGATCATCAAGTCATCAAGCAATTAACCCCCCACCCCAATATAATTCGCACAAAAGTGATAAAAGTCAGTGGAACCTATCAAATCGACACAAAAGTTCTAACCCTAGCCATGAGCCATCCACGAAACGAAGCGATGAGGATCCCCACCGCTTAGAGGTCATAACCATCGATCGGATCTAGAGTAGGGTGTAGAGAGGAGGAGAATCGATCGCTGATCTACAAATCGGCACATGAGAGAGAGATCACCGTATGCGTACCTTGAGGCGGGAAGGATCGGCGAGGCTCGAGAGAGAGAGAGGGATTGGGATCGGTTTTTTGTTGTGCGTATAGATGGCCAACTGGCCGGCCCGGCCAGGCACGGCGCCATGCCTCCCGGGCCGTGCCTCACAAGGCCACGGGCATGGCCTCAGGCCCAGGCACGGCACTATGGGCCGATTTTCGTGCCGGGCCGGCCCGAGAAGCATGGCCAATTTCACAGGAGAGAGGGGAAGGGCGAAGGGGAGTCCAAGAGGTGTAGGAGGTCAACGCCGCTCACCGCCGAGGAGATCGACGCTAGATCCGGAGGAGGCCGGCATCCGCCACCGAGGAACTCGGACGCGATCCACATGAGCGGGAGGCGGAGCGGTGGAGAGGTCGACGCCTCGGCCGGATCCGGAGGAGCCGCCGAGGCGGGCCACCACGCCGACGCCGGTGTGCTCACGCCACTGCCGTGCTCGGTCGCCAGCGCCACCGGCCTTGCGCGGGCGTGGAGGCGGCGGCCGAGGAGAGGAGAGGTCGCGCAAGGAGCCGATGACGCCGAGGGAGAGAGGAGAGGCGTCCGCGTGCGTGCTTTCGCCTCGCCGCGCGAGGAAGGAGAGGCGGCCCGCCACGCCTTGCGGGCAGAGAGAGGAGGGATAGGGTTCGCGCACGGGGGGGGGGCAGCGGGCGGGCGGGCCGGTAAGGCCGTCAGCCGCCACCGCCATCTTGCGATGTGGATCGGGTCGTGTCGTGTTGCCCACGTGCGATCCGGGCGCTGCCACTGGCTCCAAGCTGCAGCTTTGGGCCGGGCCAAAAAAGCGGGCCTCGTCTTGGGCCGACGGTCTCGGCTGCATGGCCATATATAGTTGTGCATGCTTGAGCAACACGAGATGAGACTCGAGAGGGGATTGAGAGCCTTGAGGATGAGGAGGGTAGCTATTTATGGCTGGGGCATAGGGACCCGTGGCGGTCACCATCTCGTTCCGTTATGCGTGCATCCAGTCGTCCCGCAACCGGGCAGTTTCGGAGCCGCCTACTAGTACGTGGCTACGTCTCGACCGTCTGTTTCACTTGGCTGCTGGTGGTTGGGCGGCTGGACGCCCACCACATGGAAGTCCGTGATGCTTGCTAATATAGTTCTGGTATACTAATATATATTTGTCGACTATAAGAACTAGATAATTCATATAAACTACCTATATGATTTTCAATTGGCAGGTATGCATCTAACAGTTCGTGGTTCTCAATATCTCTGAATGCATCACTGTCAGAGGTGGCATCAGACTGCATAAACCCAAATGCACATGCCTGAATGCATCAGTCTGGCAGTATAAACCTAATTGTCATTTAGACTAACATTTGGCAGGGATGTATTTGCATTTATACTGCATAAACCCAGTATTTTAACTTATGAGATTTTAGATGTGCATTGCAGTGCTGCTGCTGCAACATGGACACAAGACAAAATATAAAACATGATGCTGCTCCTTCTATTCACTACCTCCGTTGCTTGCTTACAAATCATGCAGGCCTGCAATGTGAAGAGGCGGTCGTCGATCTGGACCTCCTTGGTGACGAAATCCGAGCCGATGGTGGCCTTCTACTGGATGCTGAACTTGTTGTTGACGTAACTACGCGCACCAAACCAAGAAATCGGTCCCCGATCAGTACTGAAAATTGAATACTGAAATCTAGACTGAAAATTAAATTCAAATCTGAACCAAAAAAACATGCAAACAATAAATTAAATATTCTGGACTAAAAATTGAAAAACTAAAATACTGAAATCTGAACCACTGAACATTGAAGGGACAACTGAAACATTGAACCTCAAACTCTAAACTAACATATATTGGAATCTAAAACACAGGCAATACAGAAAAAGGAGTTCACTGGCCTGCTCAACACACGTTATTAGTCTCCAGCATGGATTCCTGAAGCTACTACCTGATATAACCTACCACTAGTTTGAACAAGGCCTTCGGATCTGAAGCTATTGCAGGCGATAAAACAAAAATCAAGTGGCAGGAGTCAGAGTATTGCTCCATGAAACTCCTTATGCCCAAAAAAACTAGCTGGCCACCAAATCAAACTCATCCACCTTCCGTTGGTACACCATTTGACCCGTGCGTACGCGCAGACACAAAATGTTGACGAACCAAAATGATTGAAATCCAAAATCACCTAGGAGACAGATGACAGCACGCACCTTCAGCTTTAGTAATCGACGGAGACGACGAGAGAAGCACAATCCTTCGCCAACGGTGACGCCAGAGCAGGAGCTGGCGTCGGCACCTCCACGTCCGCGTCCGCCCCCACCCCCGCCCCTGCCCCCGCCTCCGCCTCCACCTCCACCTCCACCTCCACCCTGCACCCGCCTCCGCCTCCACCTCCGGCGACGCCAGAGCCGGCACTCGAGCCGGCACCTACGCCTCCGTCTCCGGACAAAGCGCACTCTATCTCCTCCGTCGAGTGTCTGAATCGACCAAAGGAATAAAAAATGAAGGGGCCCCAAAAACGAAAGATGGACTGAAATGGGCCTAGTACATGGAAACAAGCCCGTCACGCAGGGAAGTGACCCAGAAACAAAGACACACCTCAGAATGCACGAATCTCAACAGAATCATAGCCATAGAAAATTGATTGATCAAGAGACACAATAACATCCGATAGATGAATAGAAATTCTCAAAAAAAAAGGCAGATAATAGGTAGGGGGGGAATCTACCTCTACACGTGCTCCAAGGCAGAGAGAGTTTGCGATGAGAAAAGATAATAAGAAAATTGAAAAGACATTCTTGGATACAAACTGTATTTACTTAGTTGCTTGTAACCTACTATGACAAAAACACACTCGGTCCGAAAGAAAAAAGTAAATTCTAATATAGTACGAGTTAAACAGTCATAATTTTGATCAGATTTGCTAAAAATATCAATATTTATTATACTAGTATCTTTAGATTCGTCACGTAAAGATTTTGCATTATAACAAAATAAAAAGCTACTAGTACTAGATAGACTCCGATACCGGGGCGGAGCCAGGTGCTTTCCATCGGCCGATTCGGACTCGATCGGATTCCGACCCCGACTTGGAGGCAACTGAACAGCCAGCTATATACCTCCCTCTCCATGCAAAGGCTCCGTCCATCCAGAGTTCCAGACCAGTCCAATCCAGCAGGCTACCACATGGCGGTGTGTAACGCGAGGGAGAAAGCCGAGAAGGCATACCGGCTCGCGGAGGAGCTCT